ACTATTTGATTTGACAAATCAAAATATTGGCATAATTTTTAAGAATATTGTATATATTGTCGCAGGCAACAGATTGAAGTAGGTAGTTTTTCAAAAATCGTGATATCTTCGAGCGAAGATTGGATCAATTTTGCCCTACCCTCTTTAACGTTATCATCGATTCAACGTTACGAAGTGTGGAAAAGTTAAGTACACGATACGAAGTTCGGTCAACTGTTATCGAGACTCTTCCAAGCCTTGGGATAGGATCGATAAATTTAACCCAGTTGCGGTGTATCAACTTTTCGTGACAGAATTATCTAACTGCCCTTCTTTCCTTCCCTTACCGGTCTCCACTTCTCCGCCAGTAACGAAAACATATTTTTCGCTACTTTTCTTCTCTTTTTCTTTTCTTCTTCTCTCTCTCTCTCTCTCTCTCTCTCCATCAAAAATTCTTTCTCCGTTCCCGAAGCATCGCGCAACAGAAGTTTCCATCGCGAAACCTCCAACTTTCCGGCTGACAATTCGAAGCCATACCCGGAATATCTCCGTATACTTTTCTCCGGGCTTACTTCCCTATCCTATCTTTTTAAACTTCTTTCTTTCAACAACGTCGGCCATTATTAACATTTCGAGGCGATCTCAAAGAATACCTCTTATACATCACGCTCCAATCCATTTCCCCAACTAACTAATCTATCCGGAACCAATTAACCCCCTTCCAACCCCCTCCTCCTCTCTCCCTCCTCCATCAACGCATGAATATTTAAATCGAACGAGAGGAGAAGAAGAAGAAGAAGAAGAAGAAGAAGAAGAAGAAGAAGAAGAAGAAGAAGAAAAAAATCTTAATCAAATCCCCGTATACGTACGTACACAGGACGTAGGAAGGGAGGAGACGAGGAAACGATATCTCGTCCCCGGTAATAAAGCCAAGAGGATCGAGAAAAAGCACGTTAGGGGTGATTAATGAACGATCTAACGATAGAGGCCGATCTCTCGTGTTCGACTGGGGGGGGAGGCGAGGGGGTCGCGCAACGACTGATTAAAAGCCTCGCGTTACGAGGCCGAAAGCGAGGGGATAAATACAGGCACCTGTATCGCGGCACGCCGATACGATAGTCCGCGGCGTCCCCGTTCCCGCCGAGACTTTATTCGTACGGCGAAGTCGTTAAGTGCGCTCCCAGCCGGATAATTGCACGGTGGCGCGCATAAATTTCGCGGAATAGTGGACGGCGTCCAACGGTCACTCGGCCTGTCCGGGCCGAGTTTCCAGAGGCGGCCGCTCGGACAATCGGCCCGTTTCAAGAGTCACAAGGAGTTTCGAACGATATCGCGGCGTTCCGCGATGATTCGCGTGTTGCCATCGAAGAGAGAGAATCTCGAAACCTCGATGAAACGAGGCTGAGTTAGGGAGAGATGGAACAAAGGGGATGGTGTGGAGGTTCGAGTCCACCCTCTTTAACAGCCAACGTGCGCGTCACGTGCTCGAAGCGACCGACTATCGACGCGTAGAATTGACAAAGTTGGTGAGCTTTGGATTAGATACTTGGGATTAACGGATGGTAATGGGACGAATTAACAGGAATGGGCTGGATTCGAGCACTTTCGTAACACTTTGGCTTCGATATTTACGCGGATTTCTCTATGGAAACTCTTTTTTTTTTTCTTTTTTTTTTGACAGAAAGAAAACTCGATGATTTTTCTACGTTCGAAATATAATCGAATTTCCCCCTGATTTTTCCACGTGAAAATTTCCGTGGATAGACCGAAACACAAATCGAGTGCGGCTCACGCCCTTCGCAGTTCACCCTCTGTTGCACGAGCGCTGTAACGCTCGAGGTGTCGATTTTACCATTTTTTCCGACAGATTTCATTACACGGGCACGACGAGTGTCCCGATTCGACCACGGTGGCTAAAAAATTCTAGTCTACGGCTATCCGGTCCCCCCCCCCCCTCCTCGTTCTCGGGGACGATTTAGAGGACATTTTTATGTTTGCCGCCAGAAATCGTCGACCACGGGTCACGGGTATAACTGTTGTATTGTGATTTTGAACGATTTTCGCTGTTTGGAAAAAAAAGAAAAGAAAGAAAGACCTCGAACGAGTCGCGTTTCTCCGCGATCCGCGAAAGAATTTCAGCGGGAGAAGAGTGAAAAGGGGCGCGTGCTATCGGCAGATGTATGTACAAGGTGTCTATGACGCGACATTATCACTCGAAACGTTTCCTCCGTTCGTAAAATTACAAAGGGAGGTTTTCTGGGAAAGTCGAAAGACGATTTGGCGGGTGACAACAAGGGGAGAAAAATATTTTTCGCGATTCGCAGTAATAGTACTAAACGCGGTGATGACGGGTTTGTGTTTCGTAAGCCATTTTCAAGCCGTCTCGCTGAATTTACAGAAAAATATCGGAGAAATTTTTAGTTGCCGTCGAAAATATACGCGAGTATCGTATAATTTATTATTCTTTTATTTTTATCTCTCATCTCGCGTGTGGGTTTAAAATAGATTATAAAGGACAATAAAGGGTTAATACGTTATAAATTAACGTATAAAATTTGAAGAGTAAAGTATAGCTTTGCGCAAATTCTCGCCATATTTATTACACTTTATTTAAGGGGATATAATTATTCTCCAATGGGCAAGTCAAACGCAGGCAAAATAGAGATTAAAGGCAGATGAAAGTTTGCAATCGAATCGGACAATTTTCGAATAAATTGTCCGCGGAAAGCGCGTAGCTTTCGTTGGGCGCGTAATTCGAACCATCCGGCGTAACCCGAAGCTCTTTTCGAATGAGTTCACGTTTCACGTGCAGCTTTCAAACGAAACAATAGCAAAATGTTCTTTCCCTCCTGTATATACAGTGTCGCTATTTTTTTTCTCTTTTTTCTTTCACCGTGCACACAATTGTACCTAACTAATTTCCTGAATAATTTCAACTCCTAACGTCCGAACAAGAGCGATCGAATAGCGTAACTTTAGATTCAGACGAAAGTCTCTCGAACAGCCTTCATCATCTTTGTACATTCTTCGTTTACTCTTAAGCGTTTAATTCGCTCACCTCGCTCTCTATCTAATCCTCCAATCACCCCCCCTCCCCTCCCTCATTCATTTCCATTCCTTGCATCATTTCAAATATACTAAAACTTCGATTGGTAGCAATTATCGACAGAAACGGTCGGTAGAAACGGAACTTCTCTCAATACTCGGGGATCGATGTTTAATTTCCTCCGTTTCCTTACCAGGAAGGAACATTTGTGCGTACCGGAGTCCACTTCTTCCAGCGGAACTTCATTACAGGGGGTTTACGTTCTCTCCACCCTCTTTCACGCCTCGCAATCGTGGCCGTTATCGCGAAAACAAATTACACCATTGTAAATTTCTTTTCTCGCGGCTGCTCGAGCGCACACCGTCGATGTATTAAGTCCTCCCTCCTCCCAAGTTGTATCGCGCCCGTTTCCTCGACAAATCCGGGAGCGGAACAATCAACGGGGAAGGAAAACGACTGGAAGAGAGGAACGGTCGATCGAGGGGCAATAATTTTCTGATTACACGTTTTCGGATCGAAACTAACGCTAACGATCGTAATTTCATCCGGAGACAATGATCCAGATTTCACGCGAGACGAGCTTATCGTTTTGCAAGTCAACATTCGTCCCGATAATCTCCCTCTCTCTCTTTCTATTTCGCAAATTACCTTCTTTCGCGTCCCCCTTTTCGGCTCGTTGCTGCTTTTTATTACATTCCTTTAATTATACCCGCGAATATAAATACGGCGAATTCGTCCCGATTACTCTGCTTATTATTCGAATCTCTCCGACAAAATTGCTCGTCGCTTCGTAGAATCTTAAACCTTATTTTATCATTTTTAAATAAATGAGTATTGCATGATATTAATAATGATATTTCATTTTCTCGTATTTGGCGATGACATCCTATGGATCACGGCATGGTTCTTCGCGTGCATTTATGTTCCTCCGGTCGCTCAATCATGTCGTAGGATGAAAGGAATAGAGTTTTCGAAATTTTTGAATAAAATCACGAGGGATGAATCGAACGGATCAATCATCGAATTAAATAAGAACCGTCTTATTTATCTTACCCGCTCTGATTCCACTCTCGGTAGCCACTTACCCCATTTCGTGGTCGAGTAATTGTCGGTTGCGGTACGCATGGTTCTAGAACGAGTGGTTAGACGAGCGTGCGTGGGGTAACGTTCGTTCGTTCGTCCATCCAGATGGGGGTAACAAGAATCTAGATATCGTCGCGTACCACCGTCGACAATCGGCGATCTAACACCATTAGTCCCGTCCCATTGTGCGTGTACCGAGATATTTTTCAACAATTGTCTCCCGCACGAGTGATTCCCTCCACGATTTATGGATTATGGCCTCTCTCTCTCTCTCTCTCTCTCCTCCTCCTCCTCCTCC